AGTGCTAGCCCACTGAGATACCATGCCGCAGTGAAGCAAGAATACCCTACTCAGACAGATCTGAAACTTTCAAACAATATATAAAAGAACTCCTTCCACATCTTTCAGAGTACCCAATGCATCAATTGTGTAGCCAAGTTTAAACGGTTAGATAATTTAAGAAGCGAAAGTGAGTTGTGATTGGTTCGCTAAACTTCCCAGCGTAGACACCTGATTGGATAAAAGCCAGCCAATGGCGGTAATAAAATCATCGGGCCAAGCCGTGGATACAACCAGAGTATAGTGGAGAGCGATCGTAACGTATACCCTGGAGATTATAGAGGATGTGTTTCATATTGAACTGAACACATATAGATCGATAACTCACCCCTACATATAAGAACCCGTGAAGATCCGGGTTAGAATTTGTCTTCAGTAACCCATGCTTGTCTTGAGAGGCGACTAACGGGATCGGGTCATCCTATCCCAACAGCGCAGATCGATATTCATGCTGTCGATCACTGGATTGTGTGGTCCAGGCTCGATTATTTCCAGACCGCCGACATGTAGCTGGACTATTTCTGAGTGTGGCGTTTAACAACAAACAAACATAAATCGAACAAACAAACAAACAAACAAACAAACCTACATAAGGCACATCATATGTTTATCTCCTAATTAGCAAATATTGAAACTTCATCACAGAAACTGTTTATATGGAAACGCAGATGTGCCTCCCTAACCCATTCCAGGATCCAGTGATTACAAATGAAGACAAAATGTCGCCCTTACTACAATTCCTTCTTTGTCAGCTCTGAACGTATGTTTGTTGCTCCTACGTGGCGAACATCTATCACCTGGACACCTTTGAGACCCCGTTCACAATTAGCCCTGAAATAACTGACAAAATGTGGTTTAACTAACAAAAACTATTCATTAAAAAAACATTGTCAGTGAAAACCTCGTTTATACATACGTCCATGGTCGTTTAATGGGTGGTGATGTTTACCAAGCAACAAGTCTTAATGAGGAACTCGCGCCTGTCGGTCTGAAAGGAACTGTAACCAACATCGTGGAAAATTATGAACGCCTATTTTTGGTTTTACAAACATAACGTGTTTCGCGTTTCCTTGGGAAACAAGAGCTCTGCAAAACGCATCTGTGAGACTTTAATTAGGCAGAGCCTGATATAAGTTTATATTTGTCAGCATTTTGAATGGCGTCAGCAGGACTGGCAAGGATCATGGGCTGAAACTGCATTAACACTTGTTTGAAAGATGTCTTTTCGATATTATTAAAAATATGAGCCGTGGAAATCAATTCGCTTGGAACAGGTATAGACCAACCCATACTAGAACACAGGACCTGGGTAAATAAACTTTATTAGACAGCCAGGGTGATTTATATACTAGTAACCACATAGGCGGATCCAGAGGGGGGGGGTGCAGGGGTGCGCACCTGCCCTTTTGTGCTGAAAGTTTGTTAAATGACCATTGAAACTCGGGTGAAAATGAAGTGTGCACCCCTCCTTTTCTCGATAGTGTGCATCCCCCCTTTTTCAAAAAGCTGTATCCGCCCCCTGAACCAGTCAATAGAGGAAATATTGACAATGAAGTATTAGAGAATGTTAATAGTTACAGAAGTGTGTGAGTTTAGTTTTACGCCACACTCAGCAATATTCCAGCTATATGGCGGCGGTCTGTAAATAATCGAGTCTGGACCAGACAATCCAGTCATCAACAGCATGAGCATCGATCTGCGCAATTGGGAACCGATGACATGTGTCAACCAAGCCAGCGAGCCTGACCACCCGATCCCGTTAGTCGCCTCTTACGACAAGCATGGGTTACTGAAGATCAATATTCTAACCCGGACCTTCACGGGTCACAGTACATATATGTAGATATATAGATTCTTTACGCAAGGAATATACTTACGATACATATCCAAGGTGCATAACATTGTGCAAGAGTTTGCATATGTTTGAATATCGTATAGTAAAACGACATTTCAGTTTTAAAGTATAGGCGTAGTTTTTAAATTTGAAAGTGTATGTCAATATTTACGAAACTGGGGTTGTGATATAGCTTCAATGGATGTTTATTTATGAACTGATTCTATTCCCAACTACCGTCGAACACACATTAAACCTCGCACACATCATATTTGCACAGCATGCGCACATACATACATACTTTCATGACAGATTGAAAGCCAAAACTTTTTTAGTGAGGAAAAGCAGATATATTTTTTTCACGTCTTCTCCTGTTTTGTGAGTTGACATGCCGTGATGTAACTGAAATATTGTTTGAAATGTATAACCCAGGCTGCTCACCCTTCCCTAGCATTTGTGGTGCTGTAGTGGTTAGAGCGTCCGCCCGGAGAGCGGAAGGTCGCGGGTTCGATCCCCGACCGCGTCATATCAAAAGACGTTAAAATATGGTACTTGTTGGTCCCTGCCTGGTGCTTGGCGTTAATGGGTACAACCAGGACTGGTCGGCTCGGAGTCAGTATAATGTGTCTGAGTGGGGTATTCATACTTACCTGCGGCAGGTGAGCTAGCACTATAAAACCTGCTTCAGTCTTGGCTAGCACGTCGTCATATGAGCGAAATATTCGTTAAACCCCATTTCACCTCACCTCACCTCACCTCATATTCATAAGCGAAATA